GGAGAATGAACAAGCAGCATTTCATATTGAATTGAGAACAAACGTTAAATTCATTAGCAATTTCATACTCTGTAGGTAATGGTTGCCCTGAACTGCTGGCTGATTGTAATTGATTGCATTTGTTTTGCAGTTCTACTGTATGCTTGTATGTAATCCTTTTAATTTATTTTTTTTTTGCTTTATTAAATTTTCATATTTCTTTGAAGTCTGTATCTTACCCTTTTTTGAACACAAATCTTTGAAGATATGTACACTGCCGGCAAAAAGTATTGGCACAGCTGCTTTTTTTTACAATATATGCAACAATTTTTATTGTAACAGTTTTCCGATATTTTTTATAAAAATATGGTTCATTTCACAACAAAAAAAAAACATAAAAATATAATTTCTATCAAAAGAAAATTTTTGAAAATACAATATATGGAAAAAATGCAAAACACCTTGAACAAAAAAAATTCTCAAAAATCAGTGCGATTTTTGACTAACTCCGAACTTACATTTTTTATACTAGAATTTTATGGGCTACAAACTGCGTACTCACGAAAATTCGAAAACATCTGATTAAAAAGTGGAAAATTTGCTGAATTTTCACGAGTTTTGCACAAAGTTTAGAAATTATATTTTTATGGTTTTTGTCGTCGTACAATAAAAATTGTTGCATATATTGTAAAAAAGCATCTGTGCCAGTACTTTTTGCCGGCAGTGTATGTGGCTCTGTGGCCACCAATATGCCTACCTTACACAGTGTTGGTAAATGTAAAAACAATAAAGCAATCTATTCACTGGCATCGCCAACATTATCAGCCCCATCAACGTCAAAACATTAGCACCGCCATTGGCGCAATACAATACCGCCACCAGTGCATACAGCAATCAGCAACACCATCACATTGCAACGCTTTGTTGCCACATTTGTTTTTGTGGTGTTTCTGCTGCTGCTGTTGGTCTCTTTGTGCACATGTATACATACATATATGTATACGATATACCGATACATACGACACGTACTGCTAAGTTATGTTGTTTGCATATAAACATGTTGACGAGTCGTGAATTCACGCCCTTGCGCTCTGCTTGCAGCTCTGCATGCATTTTGTTGTTGTTTATTTTTATTTGTGTTGTAGTGTATTTTTCTTTGTTTTCCTATTGTGTAGCCCTTTTTCTGCACTTGCATTTGCAGTAAATTCTTATTGTTGTTGGTGTTTGTGCAGTTCAATGTGCCACACGCAGTTATATGTACACACATATAAAAAAATAAAAAAAAAATGGAACCCGTGTGGGTAGATTAGTCCTGTGTTTGTACATAGTGAGCTTCTACTTTAGAGCAGGTCGCTTATGCTCACGAGAAGAAAAAACCGGAAAAGCACGACTAGGAAGAAATTGTTTTTAAAATTTAGAAAAATCTCGGAAAATCTCCTGGGAGTCACATTTCATTTCCTCGTTTTGTCAATGATAAAAAAATAAGCAAAAACTAGAAGTTGTTTTTAAAGATTTCTAAAGATACAGTATGTCCTTTCACCACGATCTTTACAACACACACACTTTACTGCATTTAAAATTAATATTTTTTTAAGTCAAAAAATGGTGGGAAACATGTTTTTTTTTTGTTTAGTGAAACGTTTTTGTGTGCATACTTACATACTACAAATACTTATACATATGTATTATACTTTAATTCTCAGTTGGTTGTTGATTTATTCCCTGTTTTACAAAGTTGATTTTGTAGCAGTCGTTTTAATCGGCTCATTTATTGTAGCATTCCTTCTGTCACTCATAAAAATTCTTTGAATGCTGTCGTAGCCATTGAGGATGAATGATCGGCGGTTCGTAGAAATATGTTGCTGTAATTCATTGAAAAGACCCGCCATAAAATCCTTCCTTTTCACAAGCTGTTATTAAGTATATCTCACCTGTGTAAAATCAAATCCTGGAACCAATTTTTAACCAACTTCCCCGATGGCTAGAGACTTGGAACTTTAAACTTAGCTCAGAACCTGATGACACTATGATGATGATGATATTATTCTTTAATATTTGTCTAGTGGATAAAATTGAATTGTAACTTAATTTTTGATATCGTCATCGTAGTTGATATGCCCCTTGCTGTCGATGTTATATTTTCTATAAATATCATTCTCTCTATCGACATTATCTTTGTTATTGATATTATTTTCGTTGATGTTATTTTAGTTGATATAATTTTCGATGATATTATTTTCGGAGATATTTTCGTTACCGATATTATTTTCGTAATCGATATTATTTTCTTAATCGACTTTTCATAAATCGAATAATTTTCTTAATTGATATTATTTTCGTTGAAACTATTTTCGTGATCGATCTTATTTTTGTAATCGAAATTATTTTCGTTATTGGTATTGTTTGTTTTCCATATTTTTGTTATCGATATTTTTTAGGTATCGATATTGTTTTCGTTACCGATATTGCTTAGTTATCGATATTGCTTCCGGTATTGATATTTTTGCTATTGATATCGTTAGATATCGTTTTCGTTATCGACATTGTTTTTTTATCGATTTTTTTTTGGTTTTCGATATTTCTATTGTAGTACATAATTACCGATATTGTTTTCGTTATCAATATAACTTTCCTTATCGATATTAATAATAATCCCAACGGTTTTTACCCTCCATTCTCGCCCATCCGCACGAGGGGCGCAGTCCGCATGACGTACGGAAACCAGTATTTTCAATTTTTGCGCCGAGTCAGGCAGGAGTTTGTTAAGTGTCGAGATCTAAAACCGTTCATCTGCAGAACTAACTAGTGATTCATTTATTGAGAGAGGACAGTATCGATTTCTTAATGCTGAAAAGCGGATCTGATATATCAAACGTGCTGGAATGAGAGTTAAAATCCTAGCATAAGCAACGGAGTGGGTCGTGCAATTCAAAATTGGTTTTACAAGCTTTCAGAAATAGGGGGCAAAAGTGTCTTGATACCCGGGAGGGAACATTAAGGCTAACTTCGCCCAGAAGAAGCGGACTTGAAATTGAGTCTGTCAGTAATTTCACTATAAATATTGTACCAAGCATTTGCCTGCGGCTGGAAAGTGTGGGAAGATTAATAAGTTTTAATAATATTGTGTTATTGTTTTTATTTTATATTTGTTAGTATTACTTTAGTCATAAATTCTGTTTACTCGCTTCGCTGAGTTACACCATTTTTTCAGAGCGATTTTTAGGTTTCTAGAAGGTTGTTCACGATGAGTTCTCAGTTTACCATTCACTTCCATGTCTATAACTCCGGCTATACGTGAATGCCAAGTTTCTTGCATCTAAAATAAAATGCATTGTTATTATTTCTTAATTGCGTATTTCATACTGCTCAAACAAACAAAAAAAAAAAAACAACAAAGTTAATCCAAATATTTGCATTCAATTGGCGATCGCTGCCAAACACCGAACGATCTCGGACATAATGGAATGCTTTGCGGTGCTGCGAAATTGTTTCTATAATTTGTCATTCGTTTGAGAATTGAGCGAAGCAAATTGTAAACTATTAAAACTGTAACTGTTGTTGGTGCAGCGAACCGTCGTCATTCGTGATAAGATGGCTTAAGGCAACAATGGCAGACACGAAGCTCAATACATACATACATATTGTACATTGAGACAAAAAATGTACATATAACAAGCAAGTGCAGTTATCCCCGTAATAATGCGAACGTGCGGTTATTTTCACATTTTTCGTTAGCTTCTCACATTCTCTTCTTTCACTCGGCCACAAAATTCGCTGACAGTTAACAATCAAACAGAGCAGCAGCGCACGAGAAATGCCAAATCAAAACTAAAAATAATACAATCATAAAGAAATAATAACTCAAATAAAACGAGCTTGGTTTTTTTTGTGCATAATTTATTGCCAATCAAGTGTAACGTTCAGGTGATTATTGGGGTAACACACACACAGCCACATGCACAACAAAATTCATAACAACTGCTGAGTCAGTTGCTGCTGACAAAGAAGCGACTTAAGTGAAATATGTAATTGAAAATTAAATATTTGTGATTCCAAAAATATGTATGTTGCGTAAACACAAGTTCGCTTTTGTGCCGAGGTTCTTCGAAACCACCAACAAAGCAGCAGCGCGCAGTGACATTCACTTTTAGAGCAATTAAGAAGAGAGGTCAATGGAATTTTTGCCGCTGCTATGCGTCCACCCTGACTGCCTGCCATAGATGTTTACTTCCTCTTTTTTTCACACTATGTTAGCCTTTTATGTGTGCGTGTGGCTGAGTTTCTTAATTAACAATGTGGGTGCGCGCATCATCCACCCCCTTTGACTTTCGCTACCTCGATGGTTGATGGAAATTGCTGCTTGCTGGCTGTTGAATGAGTTAACCTCAGAGCGCAGAGTTCAAATTTGTGCACGCAGCGACAACAACAACGAAAAGACAAAAACACGCGACGACGCATGTTGCTGCTGCTGCACAGCACAGCACAGCACAGCTGAGGTGACAAGTGACGGCGAAGCGGGCCGCTGCTGGTTCAACATTCCATACTCGAGCTCCTCGTGCTGGTATAGCGTGTGGCGTGTGGCGTGTGGCCTGTGGCATCTGAGGCATGTGAGGCAGCAGCTATTAAAATTGAAAAATCGAAAAGGCAAAAAAATAAATAAAAAAAAAAAAAACAATTCACCGCCTGATCAAGCGATGGGCAATGTTTTAATGAATTGCTGCAACAGCTGTGATTGTGTTTTTGTTTGCTTTTGTTGCTGCTGCTGCTAGTGGCGGTGGTGGCAATTGTTCGTGGCTGTTGTTATTTGTTTGTGTCCATTTNCTGCTGCTTCTTACAATGCAATGACTTTTTAATTAAATTGTGTGCATCGCATATTCATATTGCATTGTAGTTCATTAATTGCTGGCCGCGACGTCGCTTTCATTTCAAGTTTTGCATTACATATGTTCGAAAAAAAGAGTGCGAAATCGCCCAAACAGATGCGCAAAAACATGCCCAGAAATATGTGTATGGCTGTGGAGTCATCGTACAGCAAATGTTTTGATTTAATTTGCTGTTTAGAGGGGTTTTTTATGCGGTTTGAGCATTTATTTTAATATAATTAGTTGCCTTAAATTATTTGCAGCCACAAAGTTTATTGCATTTGTTAGTGAAATTGTGGGGAATATGTTGTGCGTTTTAAATTTTATATTCAGTTGTAGCCAAGAGACTGCAGAATTTAGTTGCTACCGGAATAATGACCCCGATCGCAGAAGATAGAGATCCAGATAGATATTTTTTTTTTTGGAGCGGCTCGACAGCAAATATTTACGGGTAGGTATATAGTCTGGCACTGATTAGCAACACATCGTATAGTTTCATAAGTAAAAACACTGTCAGCTCATTGCCAAAAAATGCCTACAGCTGAGATCACCCGTGTTTTGATATTTGCTCTTATCTTTTACAATTTCTTTCATTTCTTTTACAATTTATTCAAAATACCCTAACACACTAACCAAAAACACACCTACAACCTGCCAAACACACATCTACAGCATGCCAGAAAAAACGGTAAGAAGAAGAGTTACGTTACTTATGGAAGTGTGCGATGGTCAAATGGTTATCTCTTTGAGTTGCTTTTTGCGACATTCTATGCTTTATCATTTTTTTAAATCAACTCCATTGGTAAAAAAAATTGCTAACAAAAAATGGTATGACATTTGCTTAACCAAAACTGATAGATACAGTTATTTATGCTATTGTACATATTTCACCAAATGCCTTTGAGACAAAAATTGACAATACAAGTGCTAAGTGCTAAAAATTTTATTTACAACGCCATCAACTAAAGACCCCACATCATTTTGTCATTTCCGAAATGTCAATGATAAACTGAAAATGGCAAATATACTAGTAGATTAAAAAAAATGTTAGTAAAACAGACATAATCTCGAAAAAAAAAATCAATAAATCAAATTTAGCACCCACTTGTTTTATTGGAAACTGGCGCAAATTTCGTGTCAGCGCGCGCAGACAGACAGCCAACAAACTGGCTGAATAACTGACTGACAACACTCCGCGCAGATACATAAGCAACTACCCTGCAGGAAATTATTTAGTCCAAAAATAGTTCAAGGTAGGTTCCTTTTTCCCCAACACTAGTTCCCGCTCCGAATCTCCGAATAAAGGCTTCAACTGTCCAACATTCCAATGTAGATCATTCAGAGATCAACTAAACGAGAAATCTTCCTCGTAGACGTTTGTTATAGCCGAGCGACGCGTTAGCCGGTGTTGCTTATACAACAACAACACAATACTTTGCTCGTGTACGTCGATGCTTTCACAGATAAAAGAATCGTACTGAGGGTCAAATTCACAGTGCTATTTAGTTAACTTAGAATCGGCTGGTAGCTACAGATTTTTGTACTGAAAATTTGGAATTTTTTACACTTACGCGTAGAGAATAAAATTCTGTCTTTACAACAACCAATCCTAGTCGGGTCCTGTCAAAATCAAAAATTTTTTAATCAGAATCTTTAGAAAATTTTCGGGAATGCAGTTTTGTAGCCATTCAGTGCAAGTTCAAGTCGCTAAAAATTTCCGTTAATTTTTTATAAGTGGCTTGTTCACACATTGTTACAAAATGAATAAAAAATATAACCACATAACCAGATAACACCATAACCAGGTAACAGGTGAACAACCCAAAAATTTTTTCCGTGTTTTCTTCCATATAAAAATAGATCTTGAAAAAAAAATTATAAAAAATCTACAGTACTTTTTAGCAACTTGAAACCTTCACTTTTAGGCTAAAATTGAACGGGTTACGAAACTGCATACCGAAATTTTCTAAAGATTCTGATTAACATTTGAAGTTTAATTAATTTTTGTAAAATTTGTGCATGCTTTGAAAGTTTTAAGCATGTGTTTTCTGGTTTACATACACTGCCTGAAAAAAAATATTGGCACAGAAGTTTTTACAATATACGCAACAATTTTTATTCTAACATTTTTCCGCCAATTTTGTATAAAAATATGGTTCATTCTACAACAAAAAAAACATAAATATATATTTCCAAACTTTGTGGAAAACTTGCGAAAATTCAGCAAATTTTCATACAAATTTCCAGATTTTTTAGATTTTTTTTTGAGTACAGAAAAAATGCAAAACACCTTCAACAAAAAAAAAATCTCAAAATCAATGCGATTTTTAACTAACTCCGAACTTGCATTTTTTTTACTAGAATTTAATGGGCTGCAAAACTGCGTACTCAAAAAAATTCTAGAAAATTTATTAAATTGTGGAAAATTTTGATGAAAATTTGCTGAATTTTCGCGAGTTTTGCACAAAGCTTTAGAATTAAATTTTTATGTTTTTTGTTGTTGAAAGAACCATATTTTTATACAAAATTAGCGGAAAAATATTAGAATAAAAATTGTTGTATATATTGCGAAAAATTTGTTGTGTCAATACTTTGTTCCGGTAGAGTAGATTGATTTATGTATATTTTAAATGAAAATTATTAAAAATAAATAATAAACATACATAGGTTGCAACCAATATAATTTTGATTGTTGATTCTAGATCTCTGACCATACTTGTATTGTATGTACAGTTCGAACACATCTGGGTGGGTAATATACGCGCGAATCTCGTAGATATCCAAAATGTTTATACTTTTTTATTTTTTTTTGTCTGCTACAAACTTCTGTTTTTCATAAAGATGCCGGTTATATTTATGACCATGTTGGCAAATATTTGCCGTTGCCTACACGTCGCACCGTTATACATAACAAGATCGAGACGCTTACATACCAACCCACATACTAAATAACTGTGCGTCTATCGGTTGTTGTTGATGTTTTATTGCTGCTATTTGTTGGCCACCACTATTGGCTGTCGGCGGCGGAGTTGGCGGAGGCTGTAATTGATGTACTATGTAGTTGTTGCTGCTTTTTTTAACATTCAATTTGCATAGATGTTGCCTAAAATAAAGTTATACTCCGCCATACACAGCCAAATAATATATTAGAAATAATGGCTACCTGCAGTCCGCGCCCAGATAGCCCATCAACATTTTTACTAGTTTTGCCTACTTTTCTTTTGCTTTTTCTTAAGGTTAATTTTTTTTTTATTAAAGTTCACCTCTCTATCTAACAAAAACTATATATGTAAGTGCCAATTTCAAACTTTGTACAACAATTTTAAAAATTACACAAACTTTTCGTCCCAATTCAAAGTATTTTAATTAGAATTTTTTTAAATAAATTTTTGTTATGCAGTTTTATAGCGTATTAAAATATAGTATAACAGAGTGACAATTTGAAGTTGCAAAAAAATCGCATTGATTTTTGATAATTTTTTTTCTGACTTAAAACTTTATTATACTACTAAAAATTATTCTGGAAATACGAATAAAAAATGCTTGGAATTGGGATGAAATCTTTGGGGAAATTTCATAGTTTTTGTACAAAGACTGAAATTAGGATTTATATAAAAATAATGAACATTAAACAAACAAAAGATAAATAGTCAAAACTGTTCAAGATGTACCGCGGTTGGCTCAAATTTTCATTCTTTTCTCCTTGTTTTAATTTTTCTAAAGAAAATATTTTACATATAAAGTTTTTTTTACGTAAAACTCTTTTGAAACACTTCCAAGCCAGTTTTTCTGTCGATGTAGTAGTTCTCTTTCTCGGTAGTGCCATTAGCTTCAACATTCTTGTATTGACCGCTGCCCCAACATTGTATCAATCGTGAATACCCTCATTGGCTTTGCAAAACAGTTTTGGCATGCATGGCGCACATTTATTAAAATTTTCTGCTTTGCTCGCAATTCTTGTTTTTGTCTGCGATTCTTGTATAAGTGTTTCGTTTTGTGGGCTGCCTCTAGCTGCCTAAGTTTTCTTTTGTGAACTACAAATTTCATCACTTAGCGTGCTTGCAATTTTATTGCCAATTTGGTATACAATGTATCTCATTTTAACGCCATAAAAATTATTATGATTTAGTTGAGTGTATTTAGACTTTTATCAGGGGCTTGCTTTTGAGAGGTAAATATATGTACATACATATATGTATCTAAATACATACATATGCTACTAAGTTGATCGTGTTCGTATGAGTGACTGCTTCATTTCTTGACGGCAAAAAATGGCTGTTATATTTATATTTTCCAAATTTGTATTTGCGTTAATTTTTGCTTCATCTGTGCAATACACAATTATTTGGCTATAAATATTTTTAGAAATATTTGACACAATGTTTGTTGGGGAAAATGCCTTAGGACACTAGTATTACAAGGTGGTTCTGAATATTTTTGATTTAATAAAATAACTTAAAATTAGTTTAGTTTAGTTAGTATTTTAGAATTGTAATTTTTTTTCGGCACCCTTTAAAAACACCGCAATCGTTTTTTTTCATTCACTTCAGACAGAGCAGTGTTATTATCCGTCGGTCGTCTTTTTACATTTCTTATAATCTTGCATAAAGTTTTAAAAGTTTCAAAATTAAAAAAAAAATATATGAACATCAAATAAGCAAAAGAAATATTGCCAAAACTGGTCAAAATAAAGTTTCTATTATTTCTTCCAGCAGTGTATGTATGTACATATGTATGTATGTCAAGTGGCTAAGCATAAAAAGAGTTTGATAAAAGCAATGTTTATACATAAAAAATGGTTAGCCATAAAATGTGGTTAGACATGAAAAATGGCTAGAAAAAATGGTTACACATTTTTGCTGAAGTTGTGTCTTACAAATTTCCTATGGCATTAGATACACTCTTTTTATGTCAATCAAGTTCACTCTGAACAAGAGCGGTGATTGCTGCAAAAGAGCCTGGGATGCAACTTCTAGTTCCTTTTCCCCTTACACCCAATCGAATGACAAATATTGAGTCATAAAACGTGGTTAGACATAAAATATGGTTAGACATAAAATATGGTTAGATATAAAATATGGTTAGACATAAAATATGGTTAGACATAAAGTATGGTTAAGCATAAAATATGGTTAGAAATAAAACAGATTGTTTATATTTGCATACTTGAAAATTTGCAAAA